TGCCGTCATCGGATCTTGCCCTACACGAAAAGAAATCCTGAAGACAAAAAGACAAGCACAAAAACAAAACACTAACCCAATATACGCCGCAACAGTTCAACCACCTCTACAGACATCTACACCCGTCACCACAAGACCACCCACGATTCCCCCGAGAACCACAATGCCTTCTCCACCACACTTCCCTCTAAGCAACACCTTCACACCGGACATTAATACGAAAATACAAACGATACTACATGTAGTTCTGATGGCTGCCAAATACAAAGCAGAAAGATTCGCAAACATTGTCCCTGTACTCTTACAAAAAAACAATATCCCCAACATTGTGATTCCCAGGGAAATCATTGAAGACGAAGACCTTTACATACCTGAACATCACTCACAAACAAACACAAACACCGAGGCTAGACCGGCACCCACCACACAACCACAGCCCTCTACCTCACGCGCACACGTACTCCCACAACCACAACCACAACGCCAACCAAGACTAAACTTACAAGAAAATACTACAAAAAACACAAATGAACACAAACGCAAACTACCATCACTACTAAACATGTACAAAAAGAAAGACAAGAAAGACCCACTGCCCCCGGAGACCACTACACCTCCACGTCGTCACCATGATGATACCATTCTGGGGGACTCTGATAGTGATTGACAGGTGTCAATGAAAGTAAGTGACCTCCTATAGCCGTAGTGTTGCCAACACGCTGAATAAAGTTCATTTTACCATAATGCGACTAATTATTTATAGACGTAATTCAAAATTATTCCAAGTACCACACTGAATTTAACATTTAATGATATGCGACAAAATGACGCATTAATGAATGGTGACGTGAAAGTTATTCGCAAGCCTCTTCGCGAGCAAATCTTTTCGGGAATTTCCCCGAGGAAGTAGGTATGTCTTACCGGTCATGCAGACTTCATTTGACGGGGGAACGCGACCCAAAAATTGCCGTATTTTATGAAGCTTAAACAAGCTGGGAAAATCTATAAATTACCCACTCTATCTGCGGATCTATGATGGGCACTCATGAAATGCCCTGTGGGGATTTATCATGAATCACGAACCGATGGGATTTTACCCAACATGATTTGCGACATGTAAAGTGTGAGCGGGTTGTGATTAATTAAGTGGATCCTAAATCAGACTTAAATCCTAGTCCTAAATTAATGGACATAATTGCGGTCACCCTGGCTCAAGTCTGCCGAACATATGATTTACTTCAGTTACCTTAACCTACTCTCATACGTGAGTCATTACGCATAATTGCAACCTTTCAATGAGGATACCTCTTGGCGTTATATTTAATTATACGAGTCGCGTTACAAGTTCCGTTCTAGCGCCGATAGAATTTGTCACCATGAACATGTAACGGTTGCTATGCATTCACCCTATATTGTGACAACTAGTTCAAACAATTAAAAGGGAATTGCAAGTTGTTTTCTCAGCCATATCACTGTGACAATTATCAAGGTCAAGTCAGGTCAGAGCTACCAGCTGTCTAGGCAGGCTGACTCAATGACTTTCACGTGATGTCAGGTCAAAACAGAATGGAGAGAGATGAATTTAATGAGTGAATATTCGTGAAAGAATAAATTCACGAACACGCTAAATTCACATGATTGAAACAATATAACTTAATCACGAAATTTAAAAAAAATAGACGCTTAATAAATGAACGATTTCATACTGTTTAACTCCATACCGCGATTGACAGTAATGAGAAGTGAGGTCAAGAAAATGAGAGTGAGAGCGAGCCATTGTTGCAATTAGCACTTTAACCCAACAAAAAAACAAACAAACGTGAGGTGGTTGTACACGGCCTACACATTTAGGAAAAAATGGAAAAGAAATGAAAAGAGAAAGGGGCCCATAAATGTGTACTCACGGTTTGAAGATGTGTCATCTTGCGTTCGTCAAAGGGGAGCGGCTTTTCTTCGGAGGAGCTTGTTCAGTTGTGTGCCAAAAGGACACAACTACCACCGCTATCACCACTTGTAAGAGTTACATAAGGACCTCTAAACATTGGTGACAGGGAGTATTAAAAGCTTGGTGGCTTAAATCTCTTTTATTTGATAAGAGTAAGCACACAGAGAATAAACACAACGATGACAGGGCTTGAGTATCGTGCAGTCGGCTGGAGGGTCGCCTGGGGTCACTGGCGGCCCAGCCCAGGTCAGACGTGACCTCGACCGCACCAAGGCACACACTCTCTTGGCCGGGTCACTTGGGGTCACCGGCTAGCCCACCTCAACGGCAGACCGGCCCAGTGGGCTGTTGTGCCCTTGACCGCGCCGGTCACACTCTCTCTGACTGGTCGAAACGCGGCCTTAAGTATCCGAGGCGCTGGCTTGGGGGGGCGAGTAGGACTGCCCAGCCGTTATGGGCACGCCTGCTTGGGTAGGCCGCATGGGCACCACGTGGCGGCTTCAAGCCTCCACGTGGGGATATAATACTGATATAATACACAGTATAGTCTCTTTACCAGCACGGCGGCTGTTGTCGGCGGTCCCTGTCTCAGGAATTGTGTGTGTGTACACAATTCTCTAAGTAATTTATAAGTGTGGCATTCAGCTCGCCGCAATGCATGCAACACCTTTCTTCACGGACAATGGTCTTAATTATCTGCCATTTACAGTGGTAACCTAGGCGCATTCTGTGAAGAACGACTTCGGTACCTCTGTTGTTTATTTCAGTGAGTGCTAGTGGTTCATCCCCTCTGGCCGAGGGGAAGGATCTCATTGCTTCTCTGTGAAGCTGCAGGAGGAAGGATTTGTCGACACCGGTACACTTCCCCCGAGGTAAATTATGGCTTGGCTTAATGATCATGGGATTAGGGGGCATACCCCTGCCAAAGATGGCTAGTCTATCCACAAGCTCATTCCCTCTGATGCCAATATAGCTAGGGACCCAGTTAATGATTCTTTTACCCTGAGCCAGTATTCTTTGGGCTGTTGTCAGTATTGTGGTCAGGAGGTAGATGTTGTCTTTGGGTGAGCTGTGCTGAAGATAGTCAGTGGCTGCCCTGGAGTCAGTATGTATGACTACATGTCCTTCCCTTAGGGACGCATGGGATAGGGCTCCCATGATCGCAACGGCCTCTATCTGTAGCGAAAAGGCTTTGTCGGTTACCCTCATGGATTGCATGGCATCCCTTGCTGCAAAACCTATGCCTGCAGTGTGGTTCACTGGATCGACCAATCAATCTGTGTAGTATGTTCTACTACCCGGAGGAGTGATGGCTGAAATGACCCTGTAGATTTCTGCCTTTAGGCCAGGCGTGGGATATTCACTCTTTTTCAGTGGTAATCTCATAACTGAGAACTCTATCGTGGTTTGTGCCCACGGCGGGGCTTCGACAAAGTCAGGGTGGGGGAATCCATGCCCTTGGCGAGAAGCTGTTCTTTGAGCTCATAGCTTATCAACACCCTGACTGTGTGGGACAGCCAGGAGTTGTTTGCGAACAGCTCGTTGTCTTATTCTAGGCGTCTGACTAGTTTTTGTCTTAGGCTTGTGTTCCTGGGAGCCTGGATGACCTTTGAAAAGAAATTGGTTGCCATTAGGTCGATTCGTGAGTCCAGGGGGTAAAGGTTGGCCTCCATCAGGAGGTTGGGGACCTTTGACCACCTCGGGGCACTCAGAATGATTCTGGCAGCTTCATTTTGGACTGTCTCCAATTTTTCTCTGTATTTTTTCTTTCTGCCAATTAGAGCGATGGAGGCATAGTCCACAATGTGCCTGACAGCATGTACATAGAAGGATCTTAGTACTTTGTGTCTGGCTCCTATGCATCTCCCAGACATTGCTTTCATGACGGACAGTCTTGATTTACATTGGTCGACCAGGTACTCCGTCTCCTTCTGGAAGGAGAGGGTCCGGTCTACCCATACCCAAAGGTATTGGAAGACCGGAACCGATTCTAAGTCTACTCCCTGGATTCTCAGACTTGTGCCTTGAACTCGCTTTCTCAGAGCCATGGCTTTGGATTTGGCTGCAGAGATCTTAAGTCCTGTCCTGTAACACTCCTCAGACACAAGGTCCAGACAACGCTGGGCTTTACTTAGGCATTGTGTTCCAATGGAGGTGATAGCAAGATCGTCTGCATAGGAGATGATCTTGCACCCCACTGGGAGGTTTATGTTGAGGATACAGGACATGAATGTGTTGAGTAGGGTTGGACTGAGAGCCCCACCCTGTGGTGTCCCATTTTCAAGTGGCATGTGCTGCGATAGGTGACCCTGGAATTTTACTCTGGCTGTTCTGATCCTGAAGTAGTCACCTATCCAAGCCAAGAGTTTTCCTCTGATTCCCTTCTGGATCAGGCTCTTCTGAATGACAAGAGGACTTGCTAATACGAAGGCCTTCTCCAGGTCAAGGAATACTACCACAGATGGGCTTGTGCTGACTGTGCTCAAGAGCGTGGCTATGCTGTTTGCTGTGCTCATTCCCCTGGTGAACCAGTGGAGGTGTTCATGTCCCATTTTCCATAGGAGCCGGTTTAGTACCACCCTCTCGGCCGTCTTGGCCAGACAGCTGAGGAGAGCAGACGGTCGGTACTTCCCTGGTTCCTTTGGTTTTGGGATGGGAACTATGGTAGCCCTCTTCCAGCTCTGTGGTAGAGAGGAAGATTCCCAGGACTTGTTGATGAGTTGCAGGAGTGCAGGAGTTCCCTCAGAGAAAAGATAACGTCTGAGTTATCGGGTTCGGCTGCCTTTTCCCTGATCTGAGCAAGTCTGTCTGCTCTTAGGCTTTCTTGGTTTGCCCTCAACTCAGCTGGCAGACTATTGCTGCTAGTTCTCGCAGAGAACTCGTGAACCAGTCTGTTTGCCTCTGCTTGAGGGTCGTAGTGCGTTCATCTCGGGGCTGAGCGGCTGGTAGCTCGCCTGACCCGATGCCATAGGTCTGAGAGGGTGGTTTGGTGGTCGAAGGACTCACACCATTCCAGCCACTTTTCCTGGCATCCCTGACAGCCTCCCTCAGCAGTGCGAGGTTGTCAGCGGCTTTTTTGCCTTCCAGGAATAGTTTTCAAGCACATGTTTACCCTGTGGTTAACCTCCTTGATCTCATCGTTAAAGTACCAGGCGTTCTTGTGACACCTGGACCCAGGCCGAGTTTTGGGTCAGTGAGGCTGCTTAGTTAATGGCTTTTATTAGTCTGGCTTCGAGCACTTCCACATTTTCGGCTTGTGTGGGTTCATTGCATCTCAGACAGTGGGCCAAGGCGTTCTGGAACGCCTGCCAGTTGGCCTTGTCTGTTTTCCATCTTGGATTTAGTCGTGGGATTTCGGCTGGGCCAGCATCCATGAGTGTGGTAACCGTGTCGTAATGGTCGCTTGTGACAGTCTCATCAACACACCAGCTAATCCTCTCCACCAGAGTCGCAGTGACCAGGGTGAGGTCTAGCACCCCACCTCTGACATGCGTTGGCTCTTGAGTATTGAGGAGAGCGATCTCGGGGAACGTCTCCAGCACGTTGGCTATGTGATAGCCGGCCGCATCCGGTGCTCGAAAGGGAGCCAGGATGAGTGGTGTGCATTGAAGTCTCCCCCAATAATCACTCGGTCTTGTGCAGCAGTCGCACAGACCTGGCTGATATCTAAGCCACTATAGCCTGGCCGGTTGTACATGTACAATTTGAGGGGCCCCCTGGCCAGGTGGATCTCGACGGCAAGAGATTCTGCCTTGTCTCCACAGTGCGGTGCATCGGCTATTGCGGAGCAGGGGATTGTTGTTTTGACAAGGGTCATCAAGCCTCTTTTGCCATCTGATTGTGGCAACATGAAGACATGGTACCCTGAGAAGCGAACGATGCCCTCTATTAGTGTCTCCTGGAGCATGACAAGGATTCCACCAGTCTGCGGGCGTGGACGTCAGCGGAAGGAAAGACAATTCGCGCCGCTGACCAGTCCATCTGATATATATATGTGTGTATATGTATATATATATAATATATATATATATATATATATATATATATATATATAATATATGTATATATATGTGTGTATATGTATATATATAATATATACATACATATATATATATATATATATATATATATATATATATATATATATATATACATATATGCATACACACACACACATACACATACACACACACATGCACGCACGCACACACACACACAAATATATATATATATATATATATATATATATATATATATATATATATATATATATGTATGTATGTATAAATATCTATCTATCTATCTATCTATCTATGTATGTATATATATTTATGTATGTATATATATATGAATGTATATATTCATATATATATATATATATATATATATATATATATATATATATATATATATATATATATGCATATATATATATATATATATATATATATATATATATATATATATATATATATATATATATATATATATTCACACATATTCTCTGCTTTGAGTACCTATGTGTATATATAGTGACATGGACTATACTGGGACTATAAAGAAATAGGCCAGGTTCAGTGCTTTGCTTAGGAATTGATACGCATGGGCTAGGGACGGTATTCACCAAAGATTATAGACTCTAAGATAAGTCTATGACAAGACAATTGTTTTCGACAGGCATAAAATCCATCCTTATGAAATACGTAAAGTAGTTAAGGACAGCCAAATGATCAATCTCTACAGGTTATCTCGCAGTTGAAAATTGTTTGCGAGTTCTATATCAAAATGCAAAAAGTACAACTCGTTATCATTTTATAGCTGATCGCATAATGCATTTTGAATGAGGGGTTTCCTTCATTTTTACTGCAGTACTTTATTCAAGAAATACAAATGGTGCCGGTCGCCCAGACAGCTGACATATCATCAACAAACGTAGAGTGAACTGTATTTACATTAAACCATACCGAGTGTGCAACACTATAACCATAATAACTGAAAGAATGGATGTATTATTAATCACCATTACGTGGTGATAATTGATTACATTAATTATCACTATGTGGTGATAATTGATTACATGACATTCGAGTCATGGGCGAAATCGCAAAGGACAGTTTTAGACTGAGTCTGACAAATTGTAAGCCAACTTGGTGCCTGAGACCTTTTTTCAGATAGTCCTCAAATATCCCAAGGAAATGCATTGCAATGGAAGGTGACGTCACATACTTGGTAATGAAAACATCTATGGTTGGCTCAAATATATATATATATATATATATATATATATATATATATATATATATGCTTACGGGGTAAGTGTACACTGGTATGCAGGTGTATGATATATATATATATATGTATATTATATATATATTTATATTTATATCTATGTCTACCTATCGATCTTTGTACACACACACACACATATATATATATATGATATATATATATATATGTATATATATATGCACACATATCTTTACATATTTATATAATATATATATTATATTATATATATAGATATAATATATATATATATTACATATATTGAGATA